GGTGGCCTTCCCAGAGCACATAAAGTGTAGATTTGCCCCCAAGCAGAGGAGGGATGCCATTGAGACAGAAGTTTCTGTTTCCAAAATGTTTACTAAGGAAGGCTTTGAGTGGTGGGACTGATAATACAGGGAACAGGCTTGGGTGAAGAGAGCTACACAGGGAGACCGAGCACCCCCTTCTCCCTCTTCACTGCCCCCTCTTGGTAGAAGGCAGCCCTGAACCTTGGTGGAAGTTCATTTTCTCCTCTCTAAAAATCAAGCTGTACATCTTTCCTTCCCACTTCACTGATATTCTACCCAGTGGTGAATTGTGTCTCCTCTCCCTGCCCCTTGCATAACTCAAACCTTTTTTATGTCTCTTACCCCTTTTTAAATGAGAATCATATTAATTTCCTCAAACAGCTGCTTAACTCTATGTGTATACATAAAAGAAGCCCGAAGTTTGAAGTGTTCTTTACATTTCTTTATAAGGCTCCTTCCGGTAATGCCTTACCTGTCCAGTACTTTCGGGCTCCCAAGGACTTGTGCATTTTTTTTTTTAAAGATTTTATTTTTATTTATTTGAGAGAGAGAGAATGAGAGACAGAGAGCATGAGAGGGAGGAGGGTCAGAGGGAGAAGCAGACTCCCTGCCGAGCAGGGAGCCCAATGCGGGACTCGATCCTGGGACTCCAGGATCATGACCTGAGCCGAAGGCAGTCGCTTAACCAACAGAGCCACCCAGGCACCCCTGGACTTGTGCATTTTTTTCCTTACTTGTACCTCATAATAAATAATGCTGCCTGGTAATCATCTTAATGAATCAGCACTTTGGGAACTGACGGTTAATTTTAGTGTTTTACTCTATGAAACTAAACCATTTGATTCTCAGCAGGCCCTCTGCTTGGGCTTAGAAGGGTGGAGACCAGGCAGTAAAGCCTTTCAGCCCAAGTTCCTTGAGAGGGAAAAAGAAAGGAAGCTAACATTTACTGAAACCTACCAGGTAGCAGATCTCTAGGCCATTGTTTCTACTATGCCATTTTAATCCCGAGGCACACTCAGGTCCTCTGCTTTTCCCCTACCAATAATGTATCCGGTCCATAATTAATATTACAGCAAATGATGAACATAATAGCAAAAACTGTGCCAGGTGAAAACAATTAATGTCTTACAGACTAAAAACTTACTAAAGATCACATCTACTACTAAAAAACTACAAAAACTAGCCCAGGAAAAAGTAGGCTTAAGAGAAATTACCAAGACGATGGCTAAGAGTGCTCATAGTAGTATTTGCTAAATTGATTTTTTAAAATGACAAAAGAACAAAATCTCGACAAAATTTAAATTTGCAAAATTTGACCTGGTAAAGGGGGACCTGGTGGAAACAATGGCTGCAAAAGGGAATCTGCAACAGCAAAAGTTATAATAGGGAAAATCTGATGAGGACCAGAAGCTGATGACTCAGACTTTCTCATGAAATTTACAGAACTGATCCCAATTAAACTAATTTCATTAAAATAGAAAGGAAAATGTAAAAGCCTAGAGAGAGTTCAACTAGATCACTATTTCACATGTTCTCCTCTTTCTTCCAACCTCCCATCTCCCCCACCCATGCTCCCTCCAAGCTGAGGATCTCACTTCTTACTTCCCTGAGCAAATTAAAGCAGGTAGGACAGAACCCTCTGACTCTCAGCACTCCATCTCCTCACAGCCACGGCTGCGCTCCTGCTCTGCCTTCCTCCATCCCCAGACAGGCTCCCCAGCCCCTGCCTAAAGTCAGCTCCCACTGGGCACCAGAATCCATCACCTCTTCCTGCTCAAGGGCGAGCAGACAGAGATTCTTACCTTTCCGTCCTACATCCTTAGTCTTGCACCTCCTGTTTGACCATGTTATTTCTCATATTAAAAACAAAACCCTTTCTTGATCCCACCCACACCACTTCTTTGCTTCTCTTTGTAGCAAAATTCCCCAGAGAATTGTTGGCATTCATCTTCTGCAATTCCTGTCCTCCCAAACTGTCCCCATGGAGATCACCCAATGCCTCCAAGTTGATCAAACTTGCGGTCAACTATCTGACTTAACCTATCACAGTTATTGGACAGTTGATAACTTTTGCCTCTTTAAGACACCTTCTTCACTTGGCTTCCACTTCCAGGAACTGTTCTCTTGTTTTTTGCCCACCTTGGTGTTCACTCCTCTGTCTCCTTTGGTGGCTCATCTTCTCCTTGACTTCTAATATTGAGATACTCAGTCCCTGGACCAATTCTATTTCTTGTCTCTCTCCATTGGTGATTAGACCCAGTCCCTGGTTTAAATGCCATCTAGCTACTAACAACTCCCAATTTTGTATCTTCAGTCCAGACTTCCCTCTCAAAATCCAGAGTTGTATATCCAGCTTCCCACTCAACATCAACCATGGAGGTCTAAGAGGCATTTTAAACTCCACACGTCCCCAACTGGACTTGTGATCATCTTTTCCCATCACCTTTCTTATCTCTGTTGATTGCAACTACATTCTTCAGTTGCTCAGAGCAAAAACTCTGAGGTCTTGCTTTGCTATTCTCATGCCCTCACATGCCACATCCTGCCCATCAGGAAATCCTACTGGCTTTACTTTCACATGTATCCAGAACCTGACCCTCCTTGCTACCTCCGCTGTTACCACCCCATCCATGTGAGCCATCATCCTATCCAACCTTGCTTACCACAGTAGTCCCTACTTTTATCCTTGCCATCCTATCATCTAATCTAGACAAAAACCATCTTCCTGGAACTTTGGTCAGATCAGATTATTGCTGTGCTCAAGACCCTGTAATGACTTCTGAGGGAACTCTAGATTCAAGTCCTTCCAATGGCCTCCTGGCTCAGGCAATCTGGCCTCTCTCCAAACTCCTTTCTCACTATTCTGCCCCTCGTTCCCTTCTTTCAAACCACACTGGTCCCCTTGCTGCTTCTCTGACATAATGGATATGCTCTCCCACCCTGGATTCTCTGCTCCAGTGAGTCCCTATGCCAAGCATATCTTTCCCCCAAATATCCATTTAGATGACTCCTCCACCTCCTTCAAGTCTTGGTTCAAATCTCACCTCCAAATGATGCCTTCAAAGAGTACCCTATTTAGTACCACAATTTGCACCTCCCACCCCCTTCTGCTGTTCCTTTTTTTCCATAGCACATAATAATACCTTTTAACATATTATATAAGCTACTTATTTCTTGTTTAGTGTCTGGCTCTCCCTGCTAGAAAATAAACACCACAAGGGCAAAGAGTCATGTCTACTTTGTTTACTGATACATTCTAAGAAAAACAATGCCCAGCACATAGATGTTTAGTATTTACTGAATGATGGAGCCATGCTATATAGATTAACAAAATAAATTGACTTAATGAAATTATCTCTAGAAAAATGCTTTGGAAAAAAAAGTCATTGATGTTGGTATAATTCTGATTCTTTAAAAAAAATTTTTTTCTGGACTGAAACAAAGGGTCAAAGTGCTATGGGGTTAAAATAGTGACATAAACTGGCACAGTAAAAATATCCTGTGCCACCAGACTGTTAGATGTTTTACGTAACTCCTCTCATGTTTTATCATGCCCACTGCACAGATGCCAAGACTCTGTTTCAGGATATTAAGTGCTTAACAAAGTCACATAGCTAGTCTAGGCTTGAAACAGGATCTGAAGGCAAGTCTCTATGCCTCCACTCTTGCCATTTTATCACTCTGCCCCACCTCACCGAAGACTTCCTAGTAAATTTTTGAATACTTGGTTGCATGAAGATGAGAATAACTCACTGTTTCCTATTAAATTTCCCCACTACAAATGGTTTGTCACTGACCACATTAGAGAAGCAGGACCTTAGGTTCAAACAGTGCATACACACACTGGTAAACACTTCCCTTGGGCACAATGGGGCACAGCCAGTGAATGTGAGCAGCAGCTGGCTCACAAACATCATCCTAAAAACTTTCTAATTCTTGAGTCACAGGAAATCCCCCATCCCCATCATTTCCTTCTCTTCTCACCAAAACATTATGGCACAAGGCTGATGCTGGTCATTTTACTTGGATTTTTACAAATATATAGGTTGATTCTTTAAAAAATTTTAAGTATTGAATGGACATGTTTTAAGTAATAAGAAGCATACCATATATGGAGGCAAAATAATGCCTCCTCCAGGACGTCCACACCCTAATCCCCAAAACCTGCGACTATGTAACCTTACACGGCAAAAAAGAACATTACAGATATGATTAATTTAAGGATCCTGAAATGGGAAGATTATTCCGGACTACCTGGGTGGGCCTAATGTGATCAAAAGGATCCTTATAAGAGGGAGCAGGAGAGCCAGTCAGAGGCCTAGGACAGTGGAAGCAGACACTAAGTAATGCCCATGTTGTTCGGAGACCGCAAGCCAAAGAATGAGAATAGCCCCAGAAGCTGGAAAAGGCAAGGAATGGATTCTGACATGGAGCTTCCTTGCCAACACCAACGTTTTAACTCTGTAAGACCCATTTTCAGACTTCTCACCTAATAAATGTGCTCTTTTGAGCCACTGAGTTTATGGTCATTTGTTACAGCAGCAATAGGAAACTCACACACCCTACAAACACAGTGCCACAGAAATGCTGAAATCCCTTGGTGCAACCAGCATTGGGTGTTCTTGCACCTGCGTTAGGGAAGCTATCAGCAAACTGAGAGTCACGGCACCACAGAAGGGTCCCAATCGACTCCAGTGTTCAACTTGACATCCAGTAGAGAAAGTCTAAAAGACATCAGACTCTTCCCCACCGTGGTCCCTCCGTCCCCCACAGAAGTAACATCTTGTACCATTGCTGACATTCCACTACCGATGGGAATGAGGTGGCTCTGGTGCCCGCACAGAGAAACCCTAAAAACAAAATAAAATTAGTCTCTGTCTCAAGTTACCTGTTCCACTGATGGATGAGAACCTGCAAAGGGCAGAATCCGTTTACGTGGCATCTTGCAAAAGAAAAAAGAGCCATAAAGGGACCTCAGATTGTGAGAATAGCTTTTAATTTTAAAACAACTGAAGCAATAAATCATCCATCTCTCTTTCCATCACAGGCAATGCTCTCCCAAAACAGTTGAGATATTTTAACAACAACTATGACTAGTGCAAAATAAAATAAATACAAACTCTTTCAGGAGCCAACATCAAAACCTGCTGGGCAGGTGCGCGCAGGCGACAAGCTCAGCCTCTGCCAAGGCCGATAGGAGCAGCAAGATCTATACCGTATGTCCACACACCCGGCTCAGAACAGACCAAAGAATACCTGGGGAGGGGAGACCACAAGAGAATGTTGCCTAAAGTAAAGCAAATATGCCCAGCACCCTCATGTTGCCAGCATCCTTGGCACGTGGAAAATGCCAGAAAAATAAGTGCAAAGTTAGCAGCTTCTAAGCAAAGCTGAAGGGACAGGGTTTGGGGGCTCATTTGCTTTTGTTTTTTAATTGGAGTCTTATACAAATTGGTTTTACATAGAAAAATCTTCTGTCTTCTGGGAGGCATTCTGTGCCTCACAGCGCTCCCGACTCCAGCGAAAATATGTGTGTTGCTTCTATCTGGATGCCTGGGAGAAGGACCTGCCACACGTGGCACCTCACGGCCTACCCCGCACCATCTAGCGTCTGGAGCAGCGCTGTCCCATACAGGTGTAATGCAAGCCATGTGGGTTACGTTTTCGGGAAGCCATATTAAAAAAAAGATAAAAAGGAGTAAGTGAAATTCTAATAATGCCTTATTTATCTAAAATATTGTCATTTCAGCATGTAGTCAATATAAAATATGGATGAAATATTTCACATTCCCTTCTTTTGGTACCAAGCCTTCAAAATCCGGTGTGTATTTTACGTGACCAGCACAATCTCGATTTGGACAAGCCCAATTTCAAGAGGTCATGAGCAATATGTGGCTACTGACAACTGCACTAAATAGCACAGACCAAAGAATTAAAAAAAAAAAAAACTCTTTCAAGACGATTACAGAAGTAGGGAATCTTCACAGCACTGGGTAGGTGATCTTATATGCCAACTTAAGAGTACAGACTCTTACTCTGTAACCTAGATTTCTGACCTCGGTAAAGGGTGGAATCACATTTCATCTGATCCTATTCCCTAGTCCTGCTTGTCACCTGCCACCTCCCCAACACTACACAGATGATGTGATTTAGCAACAGTGACGCCTACAAGAGGAAAAGACATCCTTTCTATGATAGGTAACTTTCTCCGCACTCATTTGGGGATCCTAGCTATAACTGAATTAGAGTAAGAAAATATTCTATAAATGTTACAGATTTAGCTGAAAGTGGGTCTGAGGTTTTTCATCACGGGAGGTGTTTTACGTAGATTTTTCATTTTTGAAGGGGATGGAAACAAGGTATCTCATGGACTGAGAGGTGAAGAGTTTCAAGAATGGGGGGAAAGTAATATAATTACCCAAGAATGTGCGCAGAGAGGTTAAGGTGGGGACACTTTTAAAAATGATGCAGCTTAGGGCACCTGGGTGGCTCAGTCATTAAGCGTCTGCCTTCGGCTCAGGTCATGATCCCAGGGGTCCTGGGATCGAGCCCCGCATTGGGCTTCCTGCTCCGCGGGGAGCCTGCTTCTCCCTCTCCCACTCCCCCGGCTTGTGTTCCCTCTCTAGCTGTGTCTCTCTCTGTCAAATAAATAAAATCTTAAAAAAAAAAAAAAAAAAGATGCAGCTTATAAGCTGGGGCGTGTGAACTGCAACAAACCAACACATTACAACTAACCTCTCTAGGATCCCTCACATCCCACATGTCTGGCCCAGGAGTAACCACAGGAAAATAAAAATAGAATCGAATGTTAGGGCAGGAAGGGACTTCTGAGCTTATCCAGCCTAACGCACTAATTGTAAAGAAAAGGCCCAGAGAGGTAAGGGGCCCGGGGCACTGGGGTGAAGTCGGGCCCCAACCCAGGTGCTCTCCGTGGGACAAGTGAGGCTCTGGCCAGTTCAGGTCGTGGGGATAAACGATGTTGGGGGTCACAGGCTCAAGCTTGTGGTAGGCTTCTTATAGCCCAAAGTGAGCGTGGAACAATGGCAGGCACATTCTCTTATAGTTGAAAGAAAACAGCCAAGTCAATTCAAAACACGAAGCAATGTTGATGTAAAGTGGCATTAAAACACGATTCTTCCGATAGTCCTTTCTGCATGCTTTTTCCCCTTAAAAAAAAAAAAAAAATCCCAATCTGAACCAAACTGGATTTCTGATTAGTTATATGGGCACTTAGATCAACTGACAAAATAAAAACTTTGATACATTTTCCAAAGACACATTCATTGGGATTCTACACAAATGGGTATCAAAAGATATTTACAGAAAAAAAAAATGCACTCTTTCACACGTAGAGCCACGCACAGTGAGAATTTCACAATTATACCACCACACCTCACACAGAGGACTCCTCACAGGCTGATAATCAGTTGACAAAATCCACACGTTATTCCAGTTTCCAGTCACAAGTAATCTCATCAACATATGTGTGTAAAATGAAGCCGTATGTTCCAGACTTTTATTCCAGGGAAACCTGCCTTGTATATATTAAGGTATACATATAAATACACTTTTAAGCAAGAAAGAAACCCATTATTTGCTCCAGTTTTTCCCCAACTCTCAATCTGAAATGAAGAATAGCACATATACAAAACTTTGCCTTGTAGAAATAGCCCTTTGTTTTGTGAGGCAGGAAAAAAAGGCAGCCACAGTATACTTTCTTACAATATGTTAGGCATCGGAAGGGCTAAGTTTATTTTTCTACTTAACAAAATTAAATAATGTATAGCCTATAGTCTCATACTGATTTTACACCATTTTGCAAAGTTTTATTACAAAATTTTTATTTTGTTCAAAATACACATGCTATCTTTGTCCACATTTCACTCCAAATCCCCAATATCCACCCCCCCACCCCTGAAGAAGGCCTTCGCTTTGTAATAGCGTTGAAAAGAAGTCATTTTGGATGTGTGTTTGACGTCATTATTCCATGACACTCAGCCCTCAGGAGGCTCGATTTTTTAAGGCTGCTTAGCGTGGGGATTTCTACAGGAGTCTGAGACTCATGTGACAGAGTGGAGCTGCTTTAGGATATCTGAAGCAACATTATAAGAGGACACCGGTGGGTACAACCGAGTAGAGACAGAACTACTGCATCATGAGCTCCCTCCTTATGCCAACTGCATTTGTTCCCAAATTGAAGAAAGCATCAGAGGAGAGAAGGAGGGAGCACACTTTCCTAGGACCCACATGGCACCCCACCTGCTACTCTTTCACGAGTCATTGTATCAAATCTCACCATATCCTCAAAGCACAGTTGGCAAGAGAGAGCAGGTATCATTGTGCAGATAAGGAAAGTGAGGCACAGGGAGGATGAGGGACTTGCCCAGCTAGGGGCAGCACCCAAGTCTCCGGGCTCTGGGCCTGGGGCACGGCGTCCCTCACACACACGGGGAGCTGAACTCCCGGGAGAGGAGCCCTGATCATAACCGGAATCCTGACTCTTCACAACTCACCATGTCATAATCCACCGTCCATGTGGCATTTTACCCAGCTGGTTCTACTTAATTTTCCTACAGTTTCTAGAAAGATTCTTTCTACCAACCAAATGCCTGGTAAGCAGATTGCAATAGATCCTTCTTCATTTGACTGGACAATCTGAAATAGAAACTCCAGAGACCTTGGAATTCGGTACAGAGCTGTAGGAAGATGATAAACCAGGCTCGTGGCACTTTTTCATCACATTTGAAACTCTGATCTAATCCTAGGTTGCAACAAAAATACTAAGATACCAAAATGGAAATGATGGTCTTTCATAACGTCAGAAAAATTTACTTTGCACCCGAGGCCCTTAAGGTGCCCGAGATCGCACTGCTGGTCGCAGCAAATAAGCAGCGAAGGCAAGTCAGGAGGTGATTAGCCAAGAGAGGGCCGAGAGGAGACTCTAGCCCCAGGAAAATGTAGAAACAGAGGCAGGCAAAGAGCGTGGGCACAAGAAAATTACAGACAAATTGGGGCACTTTGTGTGATTCCAGGGAGTTGTTACATGTTATGGTAAGATTAGCTATTTTAACTAAAAATACATGCTATGCCTTAGCGGGAAGGGCTGCTGAGAAACAGAATTCATCTACCTTTGTTTGGCAAAGAACAATATTGTGCTGCTGTGGGCATCGACCTTATTCCACCAAATGTCCCAAACCCCGGTGAATTCTTGACAGCACTTAAAGGGACAACTCAGCCCTTTTTATGCGTGAAAATCTAAGTGGGGAGCCAATTTTTAAAACTGTTCCTGAGTTATAGTTTCTTTAAAATAGTTACTCGCTTTTCCCAGCTATGCTTAATACCAACTGCTTTAACCTTCAAAAACCAGCCCGGCACAGATTTCCTGGTTGACGATAACGATCTCACCCTCACGCATTCACACAATCACATCATGAATTTCGATACGATTAAATTAAAAATACCTTTCATCGCAGATGCTCTAATCTTCTATACATGGCTACATCAGAAATTGTGTGTAATGAAAAAATTGTGTCACAAATAAAGCCCATCCCATTACTGATTTTCGATATGAAACAAAAATGGGCTTTTTGTTTATTGGGGGGGGTGGTGAGGCCACACCACTGGCCCCCAAAGCATAATAGAGGGCTGGTGGCACATTCCCATTTTTTGGTGTGACAGTGGCAGATCCCCCACCAGCAATATAAATACTTTTTTTTTTAAATCATCCTCTCCTTGAACATTTATAAAAAGAAAAACTATCTACAGTAGTGTATCATCACTAATAGAAATTTCTTCCCAGTTCTATTTCAGAAGGCGTCAAATGATGTTCTTTAAATAAACTATAAATACCCCATGTATTCGTTCATGTCTGGCTGTCCCAACTTCTGCTCTTTTTTTTTTTTTTTGGCAAATTAAAAAGGCGTGTGGCTTCCTCTCGCCAACTGGCGCGCCTGAGGCTCAGCGTGGCACCCTGTGGTAAAAGTACATGTAGCCCAGGTCCTTGGGGGGCCTTTCTGAGGCACACACTCTGTGGTCATTGTAGATCACCCACCTGAAAACAAAAGACAGAAGAACTCGATGGATTTCAGTCAGTCCCAGGAAGCTTGGCAGAAAACAAGTTACTGTACCATACTTCATCAAGATGTTTTAAGGTAACCAAACTCAAGCCTGCTGCATAAAAAGAGAGACTGCTAGTGGGAAATTGCAACTGCTTTTTTATTCTTGAGCTCAATCAAAAGGTAGTTACGAAAGGAGTCACCAAACATTTTAAACCCTTTGGTCTCAAAACCCCTTTTGTAGAAGTCCATAGATGGCCTCAGAAATTAAGTCAAAGAATCATGTACGACAGTGTTTATTTCAGCCTGAGGTATAAAACTAGGTCAAAATGAGAAGTAAAGAGCCATGCAAGTGAACTATCACACAACTATTAAAATATCTTCAAAGAATATTTGGTAAAGTGAGAAAATAATCACAATACAGTATGATGTAGGAAAAGGGTTAAAAAATTGTATGTGCTGTGTGCATACTTTAAGCCTTTAGAAAAGTTGTAAAGGTATATGTACATTTATATGTAGCATGTACATGTATACACCTGGATCCTCTCTCCCAGTGCAAATAATAAAAGAGAAATGTGTTGAAACATAAACAATGATTATCTTTAGGCTTCCAAATGACATATTCTGTTATGTTTCTGCATTTTACAAATTCCTTACCATAAATTTTATTGCTTTTTGAATTATAATTAAGCTACTTTTCTTTTTTTTTTTTTTTAATATTTTATTTATTTATTTGAGAGAGAGAGAAAGCATGAGGTGGGGAGGGTCAGAGGGAGAAGCAGACTCCTAGCTGAGCAAGGAGCCCGATGCAGGACTCGATCCAGGGACTCCAGGATCATGACCTGAGCCGAAGGCAGTCGCTTAACCAACTGAGCCACCCAGGCGCCCAAGCTACTTTTCTTAAGAAAAGTATTTTGAAAAGAGCATCATGCTTGATAATACAAAGAATTTCCTATCAATCAAACACCTGTGCTCAACTATTTCATTAATCAAGTTCAGAAGACACTAAAAGACACACCAAAAGGGAGCACAACCAAGTCCCTGGTGGGAACCGGTGTCTCCTGCAGTGTGTGGCACGGTGTGAGAGGTCAACATCCCACCAGGACAGAGCAAGGTTCTAGGTTTCTCCAGTATCCACGGGGCTGAGCACGGCCTCAAGTAGGAGGCTGAGCCTCGGGCTGCTCAGGGAGGGGAGCTCACAGAAGAGGAACCAGGGGGCTCTGCGGGGATCCAGCCCAAGGAGAAGGTCCTGAAGAGAGCAGCAGCCTTATGTCCCATCAGTGTCTCACTCCCAGCTCACCACACACCTAGCGACTCTACTTACAAAGCCAAGAAGCCTACTGCAAGGCCACAATAGGGCAAAATAGTGGACGTTTAAGGAAGCCAGATAAAACACGGGATACTCAGTCAAATTTATATAGCAGGGAAGGGAGAAATAATTTTGAGTATAAATACATTGCATGTAACATTTAAGATACGTTTATACTAAAAAGTTATTCATTGTTTACCTGAAATTCAAATTTAACAGGGCACCTGGTTTTCCTGTTTTGTGGGCTAAAACTGGCAACCCTGTGGAGGTCCCAAACATACACACATTCTACTGCAGGATGCATCTTTATTTTGGGAAGTCACTTGGGTATGATGGTTGAGAGTGGCTTTGAATACCAGCTCTGACATTACTACTTCCGGGCTAAGTTCCCGCTACTCAGTGTCTCTGAGCCTCAGGGTCTTGATGTGTAAAATGGCTTTGAGAGTATATTCCTACAAAACCATCATGAGTACCAAATGGGTCAATATGTGCAACACCTACCTGAGAGCCTGGCACACAGTAGGTGCTCAATAAAACACAGACATCATTGATCTTCTAAAAAAGACTCACCTTCCTTCCTTTTTAATGTGGCAAACATAATGGCCACTCATTGTAGATGTTCCCATGTGACTGATGAACGCAAATAATTCATACACTATGAAAGAAGAAACAACTCTGTTACTAGGCAGCATTTCTAGAAACCAACAGCACTTCTGATCAGAATTTAAAGGCAATAATGGTGCAACCCAGAAACTGTTTACATTGAAAGACAAAGTCTATTTACCTTGCTATGCTGAGAACACACACCCCCACACACCCACCAACTTCAACCTGCAAATTCATAATAATGCAGACATAAACTATCCAAGTACAGCTGACATTTAATTCCTATCTGGAAGGGGACTAAAAACCCCCCAGTCGAGTCTGGTGGCAGGGGGTCTAAAGGGGCAGTCCTGGCTCTATCACTTTCAAGCAGCATGAGGATGGAGGAGCTGTTTCCTCTCTCTGAGCCCGTTTCTTCACAGAGATGAAAAATCCACCCACTTCACAAGGTTGTATAAAGCTTAAATGAGCAATTCAGACTAAAATACCATACAAATGTCAGGATTATAAGGAAGACAGCAGTCATTTATAGAAAGGGATAATGCTTCAGAATAGGCTTCTTGTGGTTTCTGACTTGCTCACAATAAACTATATGGGACCCAAATTCAGACTTTATTCTTTCTGAACAAGGAAATATATAGCCTTCGAGTACAAGACCAATGTTTATTCTCTAAGAAGAATAAACCATCTAGCAGAGTATTCTGTACATACCCATTCCAAATGAATTTCAGCTTATGCTTGCCTGGCCCGGGCTAGACCTACACAACACAGAGTGGATTCCATGGACCAACAGAGTGGGTACCAGTCCACTCGGCAAACTGTTACAGGCTATCATGAGACAGGTATAGAAACTGAGCAAGGGCTTACAAACTTTCATAATATGTCTGTGGAATCTAACAAGGAAAAACATGGGCTTGCATATTCATTTTTCTCATGCTCTATTTTTATTCCATTTTTCAAAGTATTGTTTCTGGACAGACCCTTTCCCTCAACCCTCCCACTCTCATTCCTTCTCTCTCTTGCTGTTCACCCAGGCTCATCCATTTACTCAGCTGCGAGTCCCCACCCTACTCCCCCCTCCACCACATCACACACTGCTGATCACCTCCTCCTTCCTCAAATATTTGCCCCGAGCACACAACTGTCTCTTGGTTGTCTAGAGGCCTCCTTGGCTCCTCCTCATCTCCTTGACCTTTAAACATTGGTGACCTGGAGCTCAGACCGCAGACCTTTCTCTTCTCCATCCTGACTTTTTCTCTCTCTCTTCAGGTGATCTCATCTAGACTCATGGCATTAAATTGAATTATTTTCTTTATTTCCTGAATGTTCATTGCTAATGCACAGAAATACAACTGAGGGACGCCTGGGTGTCTCAGTCGGTTAAGCGGCTGCCTTCAGCCCAGGTCATGACCCCAGAGTCCTGGGATCGAGTCCCCCATCAGGCTCCTTGCTCAGCAGGGAACCTGCTTCTCCCTCTTTCTCCCTCCCTCTGCTTGTGCGCTCTCTGTCAAATAAATAAAACCTTTAAAAAAAAAAAAAAGCAACTGAATTTTGTATATTGATCTTGTTTCTTACAATCTTGCTAAACCCATTTATTAGTTCTAATAGTTTCTGGTAGATTCCTTAGGATTTTCTATATACAAAATTGTATCACCTGCAAAAAGAGGTAAGTTATACTTCTTCTTTGCTAACCTGGATGCCTTTTATTTCATTTTCTTGCCTAATTGCCTTGGCTAGAATGTCCTGTTACAATGCTAAATAGAAATGGCAAGAGTGGGGGCGCCTGGATGGCTCAGTTAAGCATTTGACTCTTGATCTCAGCTCAGGTCATGATCTCAGGGTCATGTGATGGAGCCCGTCAGGCTCAACGCTCAGCAGGGAGTCTGCGTGAGATTCTCTCCCTCCCTCTCCCTCTGCCCCTTGCCCCCCTCTCTCTCAAAAAAAGAAGAAGAAGAAGAAGAAGAAGAAGAAGAAGAAGAAGAAGAAGAAGAAGAAGAAGAAGAAGAAGAAGAAGAAGAAGAAGAAGAAGAAGAAGAAGAAGAAGAAGAAAAGGAAGGAAGAGAAAGAGAAAGAGAAATGGCAAGAGTGGACATAGCTGTCTTGTTCCTGATCTTTGGGGACAAGCATTCAGTCTTTCACCATTCCGTATGATATGAGCTGTGGGTTTTTTGTAGATGCTCTTCATCAGATTGAGGAAGTTCCCTTTCATTTCCAGTTTGTTGGGCATTCTCTCCCCAGCCTTATCTATCTCAGTTAATGGTGATTCCATTCTTCCATTCAGGACAAAATCTTGGCTTCTCTCTCATATACATCTTTTATTTTTTTTTTCCTGGTAAACTTTTTTGAGTATAGTTGACATACAATGTTACATCAGTTTCAGGTTTTCTCATGCTCTTTACACACATCCAGTCCATCAGCAAATCCTGTCAACGTTTCCTTCAAACTATATCCAGAATCCAACCACTTCTTGCCACCTCTACTAGTAATGTCTGATCCTAGTTACCATCATCACTTGTCTGAATTTTTACAACAGCCCCCTATCTGGGCTTCCTGCTTCCTCTCCCCCTCACTCCACCCCAGCTACTCCCACTTTCCCCCTTACTCCACCCCAGCTACCCTCCCTCTCTCCCCTCACTCCACCCCAGCTACTCCCACTTTCTGCCTCACTCCACTCCAACTATTCGCCCTTTCCCCTTCACTCCACCCCAGCTACTCTCCTCCCCCCAACTCTACCCCACTACTCCCCCTCTCCCTTCACTCCACCCCAGCTACTCCCTCTCTCCCTCACTCCACCCCAGCTACTCCCTCTCTCCCTCACTCTACCCCAGCTACTCCCACTTTTCCCCTCATTCCACTCCAGCTACTCCCTCTCTCCCCCTTACTCCACCCCAGCTACTCCCCCTCTCTCCCTCACTCTACCCCAGCTACTCCCCCTCTCTCCCTCACTCTACCCCAGCTACTCCCACTTTCTCTCTCACTCCACTCCCACTACTCCTGCCTCCCACCTCTACACTCATTGTTCCCTCTTTGAAACTCTTCTTTCAGATGTCACAAGACTTACCCCTCACTTCACTGAAGTCGTGAATGAAATATCACCTCAGAGAGGCCTTCCTGCACCACCTTATAAAAGAGCAACTCTCCCTTCCACCCCAAACTTCACCCCTAACCCCCCTCAACCTTGCTTTATTATTGTCCAGGTAGCATGAAGTAACTCCTGCCATGTCCATACTTACTTGTGTATTTATTTATTGTCTATCCCCTTTTATCTCTGGCTAGAATATAGCTCCATAAGGACAGGAAGTTGGTCTGTTGTGTTTACTGAAATATTCCTGGCACAGAGAATGGTGGCTTAGCACGCAGTAGGCATTTCATAAGTATTTGTTGAATATATAAAAAAAGTGTGAATTAGAGAATAACTCTGTTCACTCCATTTCTTCACCTGTTTTTATATCATCTTACATTGTATATATTTTATAAACCACCTACCAAAGTATAAATTGGATTATAAGTTAGTAAAATAATTATTAAAAAAGAAATGACTCAGAGGGGATTGTTTTTCCCATCACTAAGTTTTTGTTGCTGTCATATCAATTGATGACAAACAAACAAACAAACCCAAGTTTAAAATCAGAAACCAGGCAAAAACAATTGTGAATGACAATCATTTTGCCTGGTAATTATTTTCTTACATAGTGACCCAGGAACCCTACGCTGGCGTGCCCTATCTCTTGTCCTCCAACACTAAGAACCTGTAAGCAAAGGAGAGTGTGGGCAGAGAACTTTTCATGTTTCTTGACCCTGGTTGGTTTTTAAAACTCTTTTGGAATCATTCTGTATCACAGCCCAATTCTTCAGCTTGAGATATACAGTATTGATCTCCCGAAATGAAGCTGCTCTCTTAGAGTTTTCATGAAATAAAGGACCCCAACCAAGGCTTCCCCCCACCATGGAACTGTTCCCCAAAACAATGACTTAAAGAACTGAACAGACTCTTTAATGAGCATTGCCCACATTAGCCCGGGTCATACAATGAAACACCGCTTAGATACCAACACAAAACAAGTAGACAGAGAAAGGGACAGATCCATGCATTCCATATGCCCAAACATGTCATTAAGCCCCCCAAGGCATTCAATATATACTCAGAATCATAAAAATGAATTAAAGAAAAAAAAGATTAGCATAAATCTTAGTCCTATAATTAAAATTAACCATGTTTATCAATACAAGCAACCACCCTATGCATTATTCAAGATCTCCTGCTGGAACCAACAGCAAAAGAGAGCATCTCTCTCAACACATTTGCAAAAACTCAACAGGTAAGAAATCCCAATTAATATTTGCTTCCAAAGGGAAAGTGAAGGTGAGTAAACCCAACAGGGAAGCTACTCCTGATTCTTCTCCAAGTTCCCAGAGGCCCCCTTCTAAAAAAACAGCATCAGCATACACACTCCCAAAAGATGTGCAGACCCCTCTTCACATAGATAGAAAAAGCAGTTGGAAGCAAGGCAAATCATTTTTTAATTTTTTTATTTTTTTTAAGATTTTATTTATTTGCAGGAGAGAGAATGAGAGACAGAGAGCATGAGAGGGAGGAGGGTCAGAGGGAGAAGCAGACTCCCCGCTAAGCAGGGAGCGCGATGCGGGACTCGATCCCGGGACTCCAGGATCATGACCTGAGCCGAAGACAGTCGCTTAACCAACTGAGCCACCCAGGCACCCCAAATCTTTTTTTTTTAAGATTTTATTTATTTATTTATTTTGAGAGAAAAAGTGTGTGAGCACAGGCAGAGGGGCAGAGGAGACAGAGAGAAAGTCTCAAGCAGACAGGAGCCCGACACTGGGCAAGATAGCATGACCCCAAGATCATCACCTGGGCTGAAACCAAGAGTAGGACACTTCACCAACTGCACCACCCAGGTGCCCCCAAATCATTTTTAAAATGCTGACCTGCAACAGAGAAACTTTTAAAGTATGTCAAAAAGCTGGACAACCACCATATATCCCTTTAGAAAGCCAGAATTAAACAGGGTCTGAAACTAGCACCTTTGC